GAGTGTCACCTTCAGAGATGTTTGATTTCCAAAATGCTGCAGGCTTAACAGAGTAAAAAGGTGATGTATTTAGCCAAAAATGGCACTGCAGAAATGCTGATCTAAGTGCTGGAAGTCAGAGTGTTTCCCAGGTCTCTGAAACTACATTCATTGAGCATGCATGGCCCCTCCTGAGCCAAACATTAGAGATGTAATAGGCTGTCTATCCCACCTTTACAACAAAAGAGCTCAGAGTCTCTGGGGGCAGGTCTCTGTAGATATGATAGGTGCTGTGGCAGAAACAAACAGCAAATAACTGGGCTGCTGCCACGTCAGTCCTGGGCAGCATGGAATAGTGCAAGGGTCACTGTTGTCCGCAAGAAGAGCACCTTGTTTGCACCCAAGTGGGAGCATCACATAGCTCTGAAGGAAGAATGTTCATGCAAACAACAATGAAACAGTCACAGCACACACCAGATGCTGGTGGCCATGCTTGGTGTTTCTGTTCATCCTCTACGGAATTGTCATAGCTCTAAGTAGTAGGTACTAGGGACAGATCAAAACTGAAGAATCTTGGTAGGGTCAAGTAACCTGCCCAAGGTCCCACAGATGTGAATCAGCCAGGACTCACTGGCTCTGGTGTCTCTCCAACTCTCTCTCTCATAACTGCTGTGACTCTTCATCGGGTGCCAGAGACTGTGACGCCAGGACTTTGGGCTCTGATGTTGACTTCCTTGCCAGTTGGCTTTGTGCTACTGGCCACATCTATGCTTCAGCCTACTCCTCAGCCTAACCATCAAGAAACATTCTTAGCAAACTTTGAAAATCAAAGAAAATACAGGGGCTGTGCAGAGAGAAATATGAGGCTCTTTCCCTATTTCTGTTGCTACTGTCAGTCATGCATTTGGTGACCTTGACTTGCCATCTTCCAGCCTTAAAGCATGCAATATTGATCTCTGTCAGTTTTACTTCTTGACCTGTGTACTTGATTCCAGAAAGCCTCTTAAAGAAGGGCTCTGTATCTTTCTTTGTCAGGAATAGACCGGGCAGCAAGGGCCCAAGGTTATCAAGTACAAGGGCTTTGTCCCAGGGCCATCTCTGGTACAGATTGTGCTGGTCTAGATCGGCATGCACTTTCTACTTCAGATTCCCAGTCAGGTCTCAGTGGCAAGTAGTGCTTACTCTTTTAAAAGAGGCCGTTCAGACAGAGCCTTAACTGAAGTGAGTCCTCCTTCCCTTCCAGTGGCTTGAAAGTACTGCTTGCTTGTCTAACTAACAGCATCAAGGGGCCATGTCTGCAACCACCACACAGCATGTCCAGCCAGAGGCTCAGAAGCTCCCTTGGCAGTTTGTAATGCAGAGATGTTGAGGAGGGAGCACTGGCCCTATGTACCATCCTCATAACATGCATTGTACCCAGCACTGGGTAAAGTGCTAGTCTAAGGATTCCTCCCAGCAACCCTTCCCCAGTCCTAGGCCTAGGCCCCACATGCCAGCTGGCCTTTTACAGGTACCCTGGTTTTAAAGGAAGCCTTGGACCAGATGATTTTGGTTTGGAAGGATAAGGGTGGAGGTTGAGAAACTTGCTTATAGTCTGTCAATCTTGTAACTGTTTGGAATTCCAAGTATCAACTTCCTAGCATCAGTCCTTCATTCCCTCCCACGCCAGAAGACTCACACAGGCATAACTGCCCTACCTGGCACATTTTTTCTTGAGCAGGGCCCAGTGCGAGTGCTGCTTAGTTCACTGCTTAGTTCACTTGTTGGAATAGCTTGTTTTAGCCTCTTAGTCTTGTCTCATTCTTCTTTCTGTGTCTCAGAACTTTGACTTTGAGCTGTATTTCCAAATCCTAGGGAAGTCCCATTGGGAAGAAAGTGGCATCATTACTCAGCTGGATCACTCACAGCAAGTTGGGGAGGGGAGTTAGAGTTATGTCAAAGTACTGACCCAGCAGATTCACTCAATTGAAAAGGGTGCTTTTCTTCTGATCACTTCTGAACATCCTCAACTGCACCAAATTTAATTTTTAGCCTCTGTTACTTTTTTTTTTTTGCTCTTTGCTTAGAATTTCTCAACATCATACATAGCTGTTTACCTCCATATACAGTTAGTGCAATATGAAGCCACTCTACTCTCTGAAAGCGAATAAACTAGCTCTAATGGATGTGCTGTCGCACAGCAAATAAAGGGTTAATAGCTTTAGCAGGCAGACTGGCCAGCAGGAGTTAGTGGTGTGGAGTAAGAGGGACGCCAGGCTGTCTCTAAACTTTTTGGCCCTCCCCAAGTACAGAGATGAAGGAAGAGCTGCTATAAATCACAGGAGATTAGAGACCCTGTTCTTGCCGACTCCGCAGGCTTGCACTGCTTAATGTCAAAGCCTCACGTATTACTTTAACAGCACTCCTTTTCTTTATTAAATCCACTTTGAAATATATATATAAAAAAATGATGATCTTTCCAGTAAGGGGGAGAAGGCTAAAAGGATTTAGAAAGTATCTGCGATGTTACATTACAGAGACTAATAACTGTTTAGGGAGTAAGTAACATTTTTGCACCATCTTAAGCTATAAAAAGACAAAGAGGTATAAAGGTCTATTGCTTAGAACCCACTGGTCTGAGTGTTTTGCATGGTCTTTGCCTTCAGGTTCCTTCAAAGTGTGAGCAAAGAAACTGGGAAGCCTGGTATGAGTGCTAGTGACCAAGACAGTGTATCTGGGAACGCGCTTTTTGTAAATTTGGGGGAAAGTTGGTTGTGTACTAGGTGATTGTGTGTGTGTGTGTGTGTGTGTGTGTGTGTGTGTGTGTGTGTGTGAAGCCAGGAACCACTGTGAGGATGGAAAGAGTTTCCACTTTTATTGCTAAAAGAAAAAAATTCAAACTCCATGTCCCTTTGGAGGTTGAAACGAGGCTTATCTTCTTCATCTGACTTTAATGAAGATATATTTTATGCAGCTGCACCCATGTCAGATGTCATATTTTGGCTCAAAATGTCCACCTTCTGAGTGGGAAGTTTTTCAAAATTAAGATGTGTATTGCAATTATAAACTAATTGGGGAGTACCAGGCAAAAGTGTGAGTATCACAAAAGTTAAGTGAAAAACAAGTTCATACCAAAGAAGTAGGAGCAACCGCAAACCCATAATTGTTAAAGCTGATGATGGATATGTGGGCTGCTATTTACCTTTTTCCCTCTTGTATTTTTTAATATTTTTCATAATAGAAAAATTATCACTTTATAGCATTTTGTAAAACAGAAAATAGGACAAACAAAAGTGAGCTAAAATGTTGCATTGCCGCTTACTGCACTTTAATCTGTACCCTCTGAGAGTTCTGAATTCAGCTAAAAGCTGCACAGGGAACTCTGATTTGTTTCCTCCTAGTGAAAGCCTGAGGCTCCTTTCTGTTTCTTCCTTCATCATCAGATGACCAAATTACTTGGAGAGAGGTATTTGGCTTCAGAATTTTAGGAGAGAATGTGGTCAAGGGACCTTTGGGGTTACATCTTTGAGCCAAGCACCCACAAGCCAAGTCCCTGTGTTTTTGGGATTTCACTGTTGGCCCAACAGAAATCTGATCAACTACCTCAACCACCACTAGACACACACACACCGAGCCTATAGCCAGCTGATTGCTACAAATCAAATAGAAATATAAAAATACAGATTCAAGATTAGCTAGGCCTTAAACCTTAGAAAATAGAGGCCATTTTGAAATGTTGCCATCTTTGAGATGGGAAGGGGCACTGAACTCTCCTTCTGCAGCACCCAGGCTCTGTTAGGGGAAGGATGGAGAGTTTTAGGATGAGCCCTTCGAGCTGATGGCTGCACTGGTGCAATGCTGTTTCCATCTGCATTTCGAAGCTTGGAAAGCATTCACACCTTTAAAATGTGGTTCATATTTGCCAGGAAAAAATGGCTTGTTTTCAGAGCTTCCCATCCAAAAGCTGACAGGTCACAGCTTTGCCTCCTGACAAACAGCTTGAAGGTATCTCCTCTGCAGACTCCTGACACAATGAATTGCGGTTCTTCATTTATGGCAGTTTGTGCTTCGTGTGTGCTTTCATGTGCTTAGGACGGCTGCCCAGTTTTAAAGTAGCAGCTTTTAAAATAGCTGGAAATGGATGTGGCGTTCAGGTTGGGTTGAAAGGGGGTTGACACCGCCTGTGTGTGTGTGTGCGTGTGCACTTTCAAGTCTGCATGCATGGCAGCCAGTGACACGGCAGCATGCACAGAAGTCTGTTGTGAGAAAAAAAAATACAAGGCATGGGGGGTGAGGAAGAAGAGAGAAAGAACTGCATCTAGTGATCCTGGAACAGTTGCTCAAACCAGCATTTCATGTTTTATTAGGAGAGAACAACTCTATAAAAGGAACAAGAGGTTCGATCATTGCGGAGTGGGGCGACAGGAGGCAGCTGCCAGCATGACTTTGAAACCCCTTAGAGATCCTAGGCAAGCTGCCATGCATCACGTGCTGCAGCTGCTGGGATCATTTAGCAGAAATGCAGAGCTTGGCACCCACCTAGGGCTGGATTCCAGGATTACCTCTCCCTTTTCTTAGGTAGTTTCCAGCCCAGCCCTTCCCCTGCTTCCTTCCTAGTTCTCGTCTTCTTGTTAAACTTTCTTCCGGATAGGTTCCCAGTGAATTTAGAGGCAAAGATAGTCCCCTAGCTTGATTTTTAAAAGAAGTTGAGGGATTATGTTTGTCTGTGCAATGGGCATCCAAGGCCAGCTTAGAAAGAAGAAAGAGCAAGCTCTAACCCCACACCTAGTATTGGAACCGAGCAACAAGTTGCCTGAGCCTGGCAAGCTATCCCTTACATGACATCATGCGACTACGAAAGCATGTGCATTTCATTTTTAAAGATCTACCTGGGATGTCTGTTTCTCATCAGTAGGTAAAGAATACTTGCAAAGTTGAACCCTTCAACTTTAGAACTCTCCAATTAAATTGTGTAAAATTAAGCCAGAGCTAATGTTCATGCAAGCAAGCAAAAAAAAAAAAAAAAAGGTCATTTGCAAAAGGTGATTCTTGTCAAATGTATTATTTAGTATATGTATAAAATGGTTTACAAAGATTTTTCAAAGTCTGAATGCCAGTTACTGCTGAACTTTGGCAACTCAACTAGTTTCTGTGAACTCACACTTCATGAGCAAACTTGGAGACCACCAGAATGTCAGTAAACAGTATTACTGGTATAATTTTGAGTGAGAAGTGGCTCCATCCTCACTGGGGAACAAATGGAGGGCCCATTGGAGGGGCAAGTGTGGAAACGGTCACAGTTTAATTTTTAGAAGGGATGCAAGAAATCCTTTAGATTAGAAATCCCAGAGTTTGAGGAAATCCTGTCTCCTCATAGGATAAAAGATTCTAATAACCTCTTAACTCCCTAGCTCATTCCAATTTAAAAATCATTCTCATTCTTAACTAATGGCAAAACTCAGTATCTTGCAGATGTATTCAGAGGGAGCAAAACAGTTAGGAACTGTTTAATCTTCCTGGCTCTTTGTTTCCCCTTTATTTTAATTTTTTACTGACTTATAGTTTTATGTATTTATGAGGCCTGGTCTCATAATTCTGTATATGTATGCCATATTTTATGATCAAATCAGGATAATGCGTATTTACATTTCCTTAAACATTTATCATTTCTTCATTTTGGGGCACTTGTAACTTCTCTTTCCAACTCTTATAAAATACATAATAAGTTGTTATGAATTGTATTGTCTCACTTGTAAAATAAGGAAACTGGAGCCCATAGAACTCCTATCGAGAGAGGCAGAATAAGGTCTTCTTACTGTGTCATTTGAAAGTGGTAGCTAGTATGGACCCAGACAGCTCTGAGACATTAAGTCACAACCTTCAAGAAGTGGCCAGGTAGGACCCGGCGCGGTGGCGCAAGTGGTTAAGGTCCTCGCCTTGCACGCCCGGGATCCCATATGGGCGCTGGTTCTAATCCCGGCAGCCCCGCTTCCCATCCAGCTCCCTGCTTGTGGCCCGGGAAAGCAGTCGAGGATGGCCCAAAGCTTTGGGACCCTGCACCCGCGTGGGATACCCAGAAGAGTCTTCCTGGCTTCGGATCGGCATAGCATCGGCCGTTGTGCTCACTTGGGGAGTGAATCATCAGACGGAAGATCTTCCTCTCTGTCTCTCCTCTCTGTATATCCGCCTTTCCAATAAAAAAAATAATAAAAATAAATCTTTAAAAAAAAAAAAAAAGAAGTGGCCAGGTAACCAGGGATCACCAGTTATAGTGCAGAAGAGAAGACTATGGAGCTGGTGAGATGATGGAAGAAACTGCATGCTGGAGCAGATTCAGAAGTTATAAGGGTAGGAGCAGCTCATTTGCTGGAAAATAAGTGGTTTTATCTGTGCCCACGATAGTTAAGGAAGAGATTGTGACCTTTAATTCTGATATCTTCCAGTTACTAAAATAACTTCTTACTTCAAAAGATGATAAATGTGTAAAAGAGATCCCTACTAGTATAGTTAAATTCACAATGGAATCATTTATGTTTAAGAAGAGGCCTGACTTGAGTGGGCATACCATGATGTCCTCACAGTCACCGGTCCTTTATCTATTTCTTTGGGGACAGAAGACTTCCACTAGACTGGAAAGAATTACCCAGCCTCCGTGTCTTTGAACATTTGACTCAGCCATCCAAAGAACCAGCAGAGTTATGCTAGCCACAGCACAGTATCTGGAATTCCTTTTGTTATTAAAAAATTCCACACTGCTTCTCTGAGTTCAGGAAGCCCAAGGAGGGATGAGAATTGAAACGTTTGTCTAGTGCTGTTTTACAACATTGCTTCAAGTGTCATTGGGCAAGCTGGCCTGGAAGTTACCCTTGATGTGTTCACACAGTCTTTCAGGCCCAGGCTGGGTGGGCAGAAGTACATGGTTCCATGGGGTCCTGTGCTGCTCTGTCTCTCCTGCCACCGTGTTTGTCAGGATTCTTTAGTGTTTTTTAAATACAGTACAGGAAAACTGCATCCAATCCCAGATACAGGGATTTAGCCTGTATCTAATGCAGCTGGTCTTTGGGCCAGGCTCAGCCTGTTCCAAACATTCTTGAGACTTCTGGTTCACTGCCGACTCTTTGAAGTCTTTGCCCCCACATCAGTTGTCTCTGCTTCTTGGTGCTGTCAGTAGTCAGGCCAGTTAAGCATCCTGCCACCCCAGTAATACAGAAAGTAAAGGCTGATCCCGCCAGCATGACCAAAACCTGTGATGACATCACCACTCAAGACTGTAGCTGACACAAGGCCTTGGTGTGGCTTTATGAAGAAGGCAGGCTGAGAATCTCATTTTTTGCATAGTCCCTGCTGGGTGATGAAGTCTTGGCTAGGGAATGTGCTTCCCCTGAGACTTATCTCGAAAACCTTTGGAGAGGGCACTCCCTGACAAGCTGCCTGAGATGGCAGTCCAGACGAGGAACGCCCTTGAAGTGGATCACAGCATCTAGAAAGACAGTGCTGGGCTGTGAGGCTGCCTCTCCAGGCACCCCTTTTTCCTTCCTGAAACTTAATTCTCAAGTGAAGTGGTTTCCAAGGAGCAAGTGATGGTGGCAAGAAGGTGTTTGTGATGGGGGCTCCTGCCTAAGTGCAGTCTGGCTCCTGGGGGAGTAACAGGCAGAGGTCCTGTGGTGCCCAGCTTCCTCCCCAGGCACAACGTACAGGACAGTCTGGGAGAGTGTGCTCAAATGAGTTGTTGTGGTTCTGCTTTTTGTCTAATTCTTCTTTTTAAAAAAATTGATTTATTGGTTCAAAGGCAGTATGTCAGGGGTTGGGGAAAGACAGAAATACTCTTCTGTCCACTGGTGCACTCCTACTCCACTGGCGCCTTTTGTCCAATTCTTTATCTGATATGGTAAAGCTTGGTTTCTGGTCTCACAAGATTGGGTCACAAGATTAGTCTTGTTGAGGTGTCTTTGTTAGCATTTGAAATTTCCATAGGTCACCATGACAGATGTCCTGACAGCCCCTGCATCACTTAACAGACACATGAAATTTTTTTATTTCTTTTCTGGAAGTGAATGTTGTTTGGCCAATGAAATTTAGGAAAAAATATTCTTCCAAATAGCTTCCTAAAATCATACAGCTTTAGTTCATTACCGTAGGAGGCAAATGTCTACCTGCATGCTCCCTTATTTCTCCACTAAGATGGAAGGACCTGACCCTGAGGTCATTTGAGCTCTCCAGGTTACTGGTGGTTACCTTAAGTTAGCTCTGTTGATAATTTGATGGGACAGACAATTCTGGTAAAGTCAACAGGGGCAAAATAACAATCTCACTCTGATTTCAGAATAGCACCAGGAACTTATCAGATGAATTTATGTTACTTCTCTGTCCCAAACTTCAGGTCCTATGTAAGAAGCCTCTTCTGCAAAACCTTAACTACCTTTTGAAAGTTATGATTCTGGGTCCGGTGTGATAGCCTAGCAGCTGAAGTCCTCACCTTATATATACTAGAATCCCATATGGGTGCCAGTTATAGTCCTGGCGGCCCTGCTTCTCTTCCAGCTCCCTGCTTGTGGCCTGGAAAGGCAGTCTAGGATGGCCCAAAGCCTTGGGACCCTGCACCGGATTGGTGAACTCCGGCCTTTGTGGCTACTTTGGGAGTGAATCAATGGACGGAGGGATCTTCCTTCTCTCTCTCTCCTCTCTGTATATCTGACTTTGCAATAAAAATAAATAAATCTTTAAAAAAAGAAAGAGTTATGATCCCCAAAAAACTACATGGAACCCAGTGGTTCTGCCCAGGTTGTGATATTGACCTTACCTGCAGCCAGAGCTGTCATTTCCCAGCCCCTTTGCTTTCCTTTCTGCAGGCATTATGTTTCTGTGAAAAAGACCTCTGCTCACTACAACCTGTCTCTGCCTTTTGTTGGATTTGGTCATTTATTCCACAAAACCTTAGTGGACAGCAAGCATGTGCCAGGGAAGGCATCCTGAAGGAATCAGTGCTTGACCTGAGTCATGAAGATCATGTAGAACAGGGGCAGGCATCAAGAGGGAAGGAACAGTGTGTAGAGAGGGTCCATGATGAGAGGCTTCGGCAGTTCCAGAAGGCCAGGAGACAGGGAATTCGTTTCTGCAGTTGTGGAAACTGACATGGAACATCTCCTGACAGAGGGCCTAAAGGCTTCGAGAACCCTCAGAGAACTTAAAGCAAACCAACCTCATCAGTTACATGTTACAGAAAACACTTTGTGTCTGCAATATGGAAAATGGGTTGAGGTAGGACCAAGACTGGATTCAAGACAACCAGCAGGTATCAGCTGTCAAGTGAGGAAGGCCTAAAGTAAGGGAGCAGTGGGGTTAAAGGGAGGGGCTCCTAAGTGCCTAGAACCTATGGGATTCTACCTGATCACTGGGTGGGAAGCAGCACCATTCATGGAGGAAGGGTAGGGATGGAAGAGAGAAGGTTGGTCTACTTCAGAACAGATTAAGTTTAAGACCAGCAAAAGAGAAATAGGGGCTGAGGTTTTACTTCTTAACTTTGTCTTTGTTGACTCAGATTGGCTTGTTCTCTGATGTTTCCTGTGTGCTCACACGTGTGTGCCTGTATCTAGGCTGGAGGGTGGGGAAGTGCGAAGCACAAAAAAGAGCATGTGGAAACTTTCAACATACAAGAGAAGTTAGCATAAACCATTCTGTTGAGATTATTTCCAAAATCTGACCATATGTTTAAGCAAATTAACAAATGATTAAAGCAGCAGTCGGCAGGGACTTGGTCTCCTGTGGGAATAAGCAAAGGCACAAGGATACAGAGCAAGTTAGGCCCAGGTGTGCTCACTAGGAAGGCAGTCACTGTGCTGTGGGTCCCCAGCGGCTGATGGGCTGATTGGGACAGAGCAGCTGAAACAGCCAATCTGGAAGAAGGGCAGCTGTTCGTGTTTGCTGAGGAACCTCTGCCCAGTGTGAGGCTCTCAGAATGTTTTTATCCCAAGCATGTTAGTATTAGACTCTACTTTGTCTTACCATTGGTATTTAAAGGGCTTTCATCCCTTAAAAAGGCCATTTCCAAGTCATCCAGAGAGAATGGTATCATGAAGAACAATCACTTAGCATTTTGTCGCAGAAAAATGGATCAGAGGTTGAGAGAGTACATGAATTGCCCTCCAAGAGCTTCAGTAATGGTTCACTTAGGGTCTTGGGTCAGACATAGGCCCTCTCTGGATCCTAGCTCTTCCCCAAAGGGTGAAGAGCATCTTCCCCAGCATTTTCTTGGGTTACTTTCTTCACTGTCGCTTTCTGTCTATGTCCGTTTAGGGTTTAAAAAGGCTACGTGTTTTGCTTTCAGTGACAGTCTTCTCACTCAAACCAAATACACGGGCCTGGACATCAGCAAAATACTTGAATAAATTGTGCTTCCCAGCACAGTTTATGCCTGGTGTGTTACAGGGCTGGAAAAATGCCACAAAGACAATCAGTGCAGTCCTCAGCCCATCAAGGGTCATTGAGAACATCAAATTTTAGAAATCAACTACCCTTCCACCCCCAAAAAAGTGAGTACCCTGGCCAGAGACTGCCTTCCTGGTAGTTCATAAGATAAAAATGAGAAAGACCTTGAGCTCTAACATGGAAGCTCTCTCAGATGCCCCAGTCTATGCTACCTTGGCTCTCATCATCTTCAGTCCTCAGATAACCCAAGGACTCAGAACCCTTCCTCCCATAGGGGAGATCTGGAAGGAGTTTCAGACTCCTGGCTTCAGCCTGGCCCAATTCTCTTGGTTGAGGCCATTTAGGTAGTGAGCCTATGAATAGAAGTATCTCTCTCTCACACTTTGCCTTTTTTTTATAGATTTATTTATTTTTATTGGAAAGTCAGATATATCGAGAGGAGGGAGGCAGGGAGGAAGATCTTCTATCTGATTCACTCTCCAAGTGGCTGCAACAGCTGGAGCTGAGCCGATCCAAAACCAGGATCCCAGATCCTCTTCCAGGTCTCCCACATAAGATGCAGGGTCCCAAGGCTTTGGGCCATCCTTGACTGCTTTCCCAGGCCACAAGCAGGGAGCTGGATGGGAAGTGGGGCCACTGGGATTAGAACCAGCGCCCATATGGGATCCCAACGCATTCAAGGCAAGAACTTTAGCCAATAGGTTACCGCACCAGGCCCCCCGCTTTGCTTTTTGTATAAATAAAATAAATCTTTAAAAAGTGGGGCTAGCTTGCAGTCAAAAGTAGTCATGCATGTGTAACTTAAAACTTACGTTGCAAAAAGATGGGATTTTGAGTAAGTTCAGGATAAGATCTTTGAATTCATTCAATGCGATTTCAAGGCATTCTTCAGAAAACTTGGGTCTTTACCAAAAGAATCTAGTCACTACTTGTGCCACTTATGTATTAAAATGTTTGTTCCACCCACATGCAGCACAGAGCCAGGGCAGTTTAGTTTCTCGCTTGTTGTCGCACAGCAGGAGAATGATCTATAAGGAATAAGAGCAACCTGGTGGCAATGAAACGGATGAGTTTGGACTCAGACAGCAGAGTTCAGGGAAAGGAGGGTGGTGCTTATACAGGGGGTTCCGCTTAGCCTCCAAGTTCCATAGCTCTCCTGAATTCTGTTATGACATATTCT